CAGGATACAAGGTGTCAAGAAGGAAGGCTCAGTTGTGTTTGCCAACTGTCAAATATCTGGGATTCCATATCTCTGAAGGTCAAAGAATTATGGGGCCAGAGAGAAAAGAAGCTGTGTGCCAAATACCGATACCCAGGAATAGAAGACAAGTGCGGGAATTCTTGGGGGCAGCAGGCTTCTGTAGGATATGGATTCCCAGCTACGCGATACTGGCAAAACCTCTGTATGCAGCTATCAAAGGTACAGAGCACGACCCCTTCTTATGGACTCAAGAACAGCAAGCGGCATTCGAAGATGTGAAGAGGGCTTTGATGAGTGCCCCAGCATTAGGTCTACCTGACCACACACGGCCATTCTACCTGTATGTACATGAGCAAAGAAGAATGGCTGTGGGAGTATTGACACAGTACTTGGGATCATGGCAAAGACCTGTTGCCTACATGTCTAAGCAACTGGATGCAGTGGCCAGCGGACTTCCACCTTGTCTAAGAGCTGTAGCTGCAGCAGCCCTGCTAGTAGCTGAAGCCGATAAACTCACTCTGGGTCAAGAACTTTATGTACGAGTTCCACATGCAGTACAGACGTTGTTGGATTACAAAAGAAATCATTGGTTTAGTAACAGCCGTATGACCAAGTATCAAGCAATGTTGTGTGAAAACCCAAGAGTGCATTTAGAGACTGTAAATACCTTAAATCCAACTACCCTTTTGCCACAACCTACTGAAAGTCAACATGATTGTTTGGAAGTAATGGATGAAGTATTTTCAAGTAGACCAGATCTTCGTGATTTTCCCATCCAGAACCCTGATGTTCAATATTACACCGACGGCAGTAGTTATGTAAAAGAAGGGATCCGCTATGCAGGATATACAGTAACAACGATAGACAAGGTGATAGAAGCTCGGCCACTGGCAAAAGGAACATCAGCACAAAAGGCAGAATTGATAGCACTGACACGAGCGTTACAATTGGCTGAAGGTTTAAGAGTGAACATCTACACGGACTCCAAGTATGCGTTTTTAACCACTCATACCCACGGAGCTTTGTATAAAGAAAGAGGACTATTGAATTCAGAAGGCAAAGAAATCAAATACGCAGCTGAGATCCTACAACTATTGGAAGCAGTGTGGGAGCCGAAAGAAGTCGGTATTATACATTGTCGGGCGCATCTGAGAGGAGATAGTGATGTAACCAAAGGGAATCGGATGGCAGATAGTGCAGCTAAGCGTGCTGCTGAATCAGGAAGACAGGAATATGTGGGGCATATAGCTGCTCTTATACCAACTCCACTGTCTCAATGGACTCCAATTTATACAGCTCAAGAAGAGGAATGGTTAAGGACTGAACCTGGAAAGTATTTGGAGAACAAATGGTATCAGTTAGAAGATGGAAGAATAGTTATTCCAGCATCACTAGCGGTAGAAATTGTCCAAAACTATCATAGCGGGACACATTCTGGGAGAGACAGTACAGAAGAATCTCTCAGAAAACATTTCTACATACCAAGATTGTCCAACTTGACTCAGGCCATTGTACGTAGATGTGTAACGTGTGCTAAAAATAATGCAAGACAGGGACCAGTAAAGCCACCAGGAGTCCAGTTTATGGGGGGACTTCCCATGTCCGATTTACAAATTGACTATACAGTGATGCCTAAATCGGGTGGACATCGCTACCTGCTGGAAGCATGTCCTACTCGTACAGAGAAAGCAGGAGAAGTCGTGAGATTCCTGCTACGAGAAATAATACCCCGATATGGACTACCCTTCTCTATAGGATCGGACAATGGTCCAGCTTTTGTTCATCAGTGCCTACAACAACTGACTCATATGCTTGGTATAAAGTGGAGGCTTCATACGGCATATAGACCCCAGAGTTCTGGTAAGGTAGAGAGAATGAATAGAACTATTAAGAATCAGTTGGCTAAAATGTGTCAGGAAACCCAACTTAAGTGGAACGTTCTCTTGCCCATAGCTCTATTGCGAATCCGTAGTACACCTACCAGAAGGATGGGCCTCTCTCCTTTTGAAATCATGTACGGGCGACCACCTCCCGTGCTTGGTAACTTAAGGGGGGATTTGAGTCAGTTGGGAGAAGGAATTACCCGGCAGCAGGTTGTAGAGTTAGGTAAGACTATGGAGGAGGTACAGAAATGGGTACAAGATAGATTACCTGTGAATATTTATCCCCCAATTCATAGTTACCACCCAGGCGACCAAGTGTGGATTAAAGAGTGGAATAATGTGCCGTTAGGGCCCAAGTGGAGAGGTCCTTATGTTGTTCTTCTGTCTACCCTACAGCGATAAAAGTAGCCGAAGTGGCTCCGTGGATACATCACTCCAGGGTTAAACCAGCAGCAGCCGATTCCTGGCAAGTTACAGCAAATCCAGAGAATCCCTGCAAGATCCGGTTAAAACGCACGACTCAGTCGGAGTGACGAGGAACCTTGTAGATTACAAATTTTATTGTTTCAGAGACTTGGTAGGTGAGTGAGAAGGCCATAATAAAGCCTGTCCACTCACCAACGAGTGTATAAGTCAGGGAAAGTCTTGAGGGGACCCCTGTGAAGACGAGCAGAACTCCATTCCCTGCAGCCCTTACATCCTGGAAGCTGAGGTGCCTTCGCACGGACGAAGACTGAGGATGACGACGAAAGATGTATTTTTAATAATGTTTATTTATGTGTATTTTTATATTCAGGAAGGTAGAGGTACCAACACTCCTAGCTGTGAGGTATGCATTAAGACTACAAGAACAGGTAACCATATATCCCAGACCCTAATTTGGCATTCGCAATATGAGTGTAAAGGAGATGTATCAAGATGTAGATACTTAAATATAGAATATAGTGTGTGTCATTTAGGAGTAGGAGAACCTAAGTGCTTCAGTCCTGAGTATCAACCCCGTACAATTTGGTTGACTCTCAGAAATGGAGATCCTCAGGGGACCCTAATTAATAAGACGGTATTAGAATCCGTATATTCTTCAGGTGCTCTGCTATTTGATGCGTGTAAAGCAATATCAAGTGGTAGAAAGCCGTGGAATGTATGTGGGGATCTTAGATGGGAGAGGACGTATGGGTCTAACGATAAATATATTTGTCCCAGTAGTAAAAATAAATATGTAAGTCCAAGATGCCCAAATAGAGATTATAACTTCTGCCCATATTGGTCTTGTGTGGGTGGGCGACTTGGGGACAGACAGCAGACAAGGACATGATTGTGACTAAGTTGCCTACTAATCCATATTGTAAGTCTATGGAATGCAATCCAATCCATATACTTATAAATAACCCTGACAAGTTCTTAGATAAATATGGTAATTTATTTGGGTTTCAAATATATGGGACGGGTTTAGACCCTGGGACAATATTGTTTATAGGGATAGAGACTGATACGGTAACCTCCCAAACTCATCAAGTATACCATTCCTTTTATGAAGAGATGAGCATAGATAATAAGATCCCCCATAATGCTAAAAACTTGTTCATTGATTTAGCCGAGAGTATTGCCGGTAGTCTTAATGTTACCAACTGCTATGTGTGTGGAGGTACTAACATGGGAGACCAATGGCCTTGGGAAGCAAAGGAGGTAATGTCCGGTTCTGAGGCAGTTGACCAATTAATATCTACACAAGCCGACTATCATATGAGTGTTAGAGGTAAATCTGAGTGGAGATTGAAGACCTCCATCATAGGTTATGTTTGCATAGCGAGGAAAGGAATGATGTATAATACTTCTGTAGGAGAATTAACTTGTCTAGGGCAAAAAGCTTATGATGATGATACAAAGAATACAACTTGGTGGTCGGCTTCAAATGTCTCAGAACCATCTAACCCGTTTGCAAGATATGCCAATTTAAAGGACGTATGGTTTGATCTATCCATCACATCTAACTGGAGAGCCCCAGCGAATTTGTACTGGATCTGTGGTAAGAAGGCCTATTCGGAGTTACCACAGGACTGGGAAGGGGCATGTGTGTTGGGTATGTTGAAACCATCCTTCTTCTTGTTGCCTATTGAAACAGGTGAGACTTTAGGTGTTAAAGTGTATGATGTGAATCATAGGAAGAAAAGGGGACCCATAGAGATAGGTGCCTGGGAAGATAATGAATGGCCTCCCCAGCGTATTATAGATTATTATGGGCCAGCCACGTGGGCAGAGGATGGTACCTTTGGTTATAGAACCCCTATTTATATGCTCAACCGCATTATAAGGTTACAGGCGGTGGTTGAGATCATTACTAACGAGACATCACAAGCGCTCAATCTTCTAGCGAAGCATAATACCAGGATGAGGACAGCAGTTTACCAAAATAGATTAGCCTTGGATTATCTTTTGGCAGTAGAGGGAGGTGTATGTGGGAAGTTTAACCTGAGCAATTGCTGTCTTCAAATAGATGACGAAGGGCAAGCAATAGCTGAGCTTACTAGCCATATGGTTAAACTAGCGCATGTGCCTACTCAGGTATGGAAAGGGTACAATCCAAGTAGTTGGTTTGGTAGCTGGTATGAGTGGTTTGGAGGGCTTAAGGCAGTGGTAGGTGGAGTCCTACTGATTTTAATGTTGTGTCTACTCCTGCCGTGTCTTATACCCTTAGTAGTTAGGTCTGTGCAAAGCCTGATAGAAAATATAGCAGAGAGGAAGGCTGCTGCACAGATAATGGCAATTTATAAATATAAGGCTCTAGATCAGGGAGAACCAATGCAGGAAGACGAGTGTTGAAGATTCACATCATAGGATAAGTCTGGTCTGGTTCAAAGGTAACTTGTGGTGTATGCAAACCAAGGTTAAGTGATGCCTCAAGTAATTGTAAAATATCAAGAGGCATCAAAGGGGGGAATGTGGTGGAATCTCGGTAAAAATAAATTTAGTAGGCCGAGATTACCACGTGGCATGTGTACGTGCATATGCTGACGTATCGATCAGTTGGTTGCACGAGGCAAGATACGATCAGTAGTGTACGGAGCATGTGCAAGAATACAGGATGTAGTATTCCCCTCCTCCATTGTGCTGGACAAGCCATGCGGTCAAGCAGGAAGTTAATTCTTATTTGTAATGATTGGTCAAGAGAATGTGCGGGTGGAGCTTAATATGGGAGGAGTTATGTGCCTATATAGGGAGCCTGCACTATTGTTCAGGGCTCAGAACTTGCTGTATTTTTGGTGACATTAGTCCCTCTGAGTCCCGATCGGTGATCCAATAAAGAATCTCTTCCTTCCTGAAGAAACCTGTGTCCATCCCTCTGTGCTTTGCTTCCGTCAGTTTCTCCGGTATCACTACCTTATTCCCTTGTATGCCGTTCGGGAGTTTGGAGCATTCACTTATTGGCGGTTCGTGAGTTTTGGTGATTCTACAGTAGCTGTGCCTGTCTCTAAAAGGGGGATTATCGTCTAAGCGTTTTTTTCCCCTTTTGTGCAAAACGGTCCGTTACAGTATGTATGTCTGTTAGTGATCAATGTGATGTAACTGTGTACTGGATTTATACCTGTGAAAACCTTCAATAAAATACAATTGAGAAAAATAATATAATATCTATTTAGGCATCATTTATGTAGATTAGCATAAAATAAGATTTCAGGCATAGGACGCATTTTTAAAGATTGGAGGATCTCCCTAAATAACCAAGACAACCAGGGTCAGATTAAGGGATTCATGGGCCTGGGTCTTTTTATTAAAATACATACAAAGAAAAATACTATTTATTTATTCATCAAATATTTTACCAGGATGGATACTGTGGCGAAAACGATACTGGGCATTGGAGAAGACTGATTGCCAGCCTCCTGCCATGTGACTATGGCCCCTGGGATGTATTGCCCTTTAAAGACATGATTTGGGCATAATGAATTTGTGTTGTGCTGCTGCTGGCCCTTTAAGAACCATCTGGGGACATACTGTGGAGTTACTGGGTGGCCACCATTTCCTGTATCAGAGGCACATGGTGAGAACAATGGATGGCGGCCATTTTAACTCACAGACACTGTTTGGACTTTTCAACACAGTGCCATCTCGCCAGTTTTTGGTGCACAGAGACATCGTGCAGTGGTTTTGGACTATACAGCAGGGGACACATTATACAGTGATTGTTTTTCATTTAGCCTGTATATGTTCTGAAGAATCTGCATTAAACTGTATTTTCCAAAGTACTGAATGGATCTGGGTGAATTTTGGATATGTGGTTCACCCAGATCCCCCGGTTCCAAGGATATATGGGGTTATTGCATGTTTTGGGGTCCCTGTGATGTGTTTTATGAAACTGTATTTCTCTGTCTGTGATAATTAGATTACCCATTGTGTTCAGTAATCATATCACAGGCAGAGGGGAGGATTTTGTGTGGGAGTGTCTGAGTGTATTGTACATGTTATTGGTTGTTATGTAAAACCCTGTGGGCAGTACTAAGTTTGTGGATTGGGAATAAAAGAGGCTATATGTGCCAGTCCAGTCAGTTCCTGCTTAACCCTCAAAGTGAAGTGTCGTCTCATTATTGGGGAGGATTTATTGTATGCTGTTCCAGTTTGACTGCTAGGAGTGTAAACCTATTCGCATGGTTTTTCCTATTCGGCTGTATACCACATTCATATGCTTGAGAGCATTCACATGCTCCTACGGTTTGGTGGTTTTGGTGCCTGCTGCAGTGCTTGGAGTCCTCAGGAAGTGCTAGGAGCATCCTTCAACGGAGGTATCCAGTCGGGGTGCCAGGTGATCCGTTACAGATACATTTACTTTAAGACAAATTACACTTTTTTAAAATTTTAGAATACCATAGTAGAAATGGGTTTTTTTAGTTAAGAAGAGAACACTGATTTATAAAGGACCACTGAAGAGTTAGGCAGGGCCAGATTAAGAGCCCGGTGGGACAATTATGATAGGCCTAATTACAGAATCTTATCAACCATAAACACTAAATCAATCATACCTCCCAAGCTTCATGTATCTGATGGAGTTGGTGTTGGAGGGAAACTCAAAGGATGCAGCTATAAGAAAACACATACTCTATGCTAAACTCTCTCTAATGCATGCTTTCCTCTTTCAAGTAAATCCATACCCCCTAACAGCAGTGTCCAGTGAAGCAGGAAGTCAATGGTCAGGGTGAAAGGGTGTACCCCTGTGGCGAATCACGTGACTAGACCTGCCAAAAGGAGTGAACATGCCCAAAAAGGGGGCATGTTTGTCCAAAGAATTGGAAGGCAAGCCTGGCATGAATGCATGTCAGGCTGCCTGCCAATCATGCAGGCTGTCCAACTGAGGGCATATTATGCAGGCAGCACCTTGAGCTTGACATAAATGCATCAAATGATGCGCTCGCTCCATGCTTTCTAAGGACTGTTCCCTAGCACTCACATGTCCACTTGTCTCCTTACCTTTTTACTAGCAGACAGAAGCTCCTGGTATATAGTCTGGGACAGAGAAAATGTGTATGTAGTGAGTGTAGAAGAAAGGGGACATGCCACAGTGTTAGAGAGACCAAAGTCTGCATTACCTAAA